AGAAAATCAAAGCGGCTAGTGTAGACAGCTGGCAAGTTTTTCTGAAAAAGCAACTGATTTTGCGGAAAAACTTGCCAGTCTAGACGCAGCGTTAGTAGTCTGTTAGTGTACGGGACATGGAAAGTGTGATTTATTATTAATGTTCCATTGCCCAAGCTGAGTGAAATGAAAAAAGCACAAATAATTAAAATTTGGTCTTATTTATATTATTATAAATTATCAATAATAATTATTATTATTTTATTATTATTATTATTATTAATAAAAGCAATAAAGGAATATTTTTATTCTGAGTGTTCTTAAGTGTCAGTTTTTTCAGATCTATTTGACTGATCTTTTTGCCCTACTTAGTAATAAAAGAAGCTGCCATTCTGAAGAAACACAACCTCTTTGAGGACAACGCAAACTTGCCATGCGAAAGTGTGTCCAGTTTAACTGACTTGAAGACGCCTTCAGGATCAGCACACGCCAGTCCTGCTAAGACACTGTCCATCACGTTAACAGAAACATCAAATACCGAAATTCAAAGTAATGAACTGCTTGTTGTGTCAGAAAAAATAACCCAGGAGACATGTCATGATGCTAGAAAGCCATCAGACAATGAAGAAGTAGTGTCTGTCAATGTATCTAGCAGTCTTACACTTAGCAGTAAGAAAGTGATCATTACAGACATCCCTGACAAACTGGAGTCTTGTCCTTTTACTCTTAAGGAAGAAAAGCCTGCGGAAATGAAAACTTCCCAGAATGAAAGTGTAGTGGAGACAGGGTTTAGAGAGAACACAAGCAACGGAAGTAAGATACAAGAAGAGGCTGTGGAGGAAAAGACAACTTCCCAGAATGAAAATGTGGTGGAGTCAGAGTTTGGAGGGAACACTGAAAAAGAAAATAAGGTACAAGAAGAGGAGAGACATCTTACAGCCCCTGACACTGTGAATGAGATCAGAAGCTTGCTGACGGTGACAGTTGAATTACCAGCAGTTGCTCCATCTGAGAACAAAAAGGAAGTGGTAAATGAATGTGAAATTTTGAAGTGGCAGGAACATAGGGAAGAGAGTGATGAAAGCAGCAGAACTAATGCAGAAACAGGCCAAAAAGACCAGGTAATGAATAAAGAAGTGGAACATTCTGAGCTCAGAATGGAGCAGCCATCCCCATCCAGTTTTGGTACAGATGATACGAATGTAATGATCATTTCAGAAGGAGGCAACCATGTAACTCAAGCAGAATGTTTGGAGATACCTGAAAAAGGGGATGTGCCTCAAGAGGCAAAGGCAGAAATGGAGACCAACCAAAGTGTCTGGTATACTGTTCTGGAAAGCTGTGAAGCTATTAATGACGAATCGCAACCAGAAGTACCCACTGAAAGCATAGTTGGAGAGAGAAGATCTGATCTGGAGGAAGCAGGTGATGGTCACATTCATGCTGTCCCAGTGGAAACAGATGCTGAGAGCTTTCTTGGGTGTTCTCCTGAAAGTCCTGATGCAACAGAAGTACCCATTTTGAGTACTGAAAATGTAAGAATAGAAACGACTGATGATTTTCAGGTTTCACTAGTGCTAGAGGAAGATAAGCTTAGCCCAGCTGAGGTTACAGTGGATATTAAATCTGAAAGCTTTACCGTTACTGCAAGTGAAGAGTGTCAGCCTGCAGGTGCATCTTCTCAAAGTGCTGAAATCACAAGCTCAGTAGGAAGTGAAACTATCACACCAGAAAACAGTGAGGAGAGTTGTACAGTGCAACCCTCTGAAGAGTAAAAAAGTATTGGTCAGAAATATACACACCAATCCTGCAGCTCTTTCTCAATCCGGCAGTCCTCTTGAAATCAGGAATATTCACATGGGGAAAAGGCTGCAAGAATGAGCCCATCTGCAGCAGCATTGCCAACCCTTGCATTTTCATCATTAAATTTAGAGTACTTGGAGGGTTTTGTTACAGGCCCAGCTGCTGGATTCTCAACTTTCATTTTTAAAAATGTCAATTTCCAGCCCTCATTGTGGAAAAAGCTTAATGACATGACCCCCCAAATGCTTGAACACCTCAATGCACATGAAAAGAACCAAAATATATTATTTTTATATCTCACTGATTTTAAGACAACCTTATGATTTTGGGGGACTGACTCATATTTTTTTAAATGCTTGAAATTGGCAATATTACAACAGTTCTTAGCTTAAATTACTCAATCAAAATGTTTTTAGGATCTGCATAGAGTGTTTTATACGGAAAACATTTCAGTCTCTCAAGTAGTGTCGTTACTAATTAGTAGGTTGTTCAGCAGCCACCTTGCATGTCAGCTTTGAGCTTTGTGAGCTGATTAAAATAATTAAGTAATCAAAGTGTTGACAGATATTAAGACAATGAAGTGTTCTGATTTTTCTGCAATATTTAATACTGGGAAAACACTGGGAGCAGGTTTCTCAATCCCACTCTGCACTTCTAGGTTACATAGCCTTTCAGAGCACTTTACAGCTATTTCCTTCTTTTTTAATCTTTACAATAAAACCAGCTAGCCTAATTATGCAGCACCAATCTGCCGCACTTGCTAGCGTACATTCACCCACAATCCAAAATACAAGAGTTCTGTACTGTAGTCCTGCAACAAACACTCCCACTGACTTCAGTAAGAGTTACACGCATGAAAAATGTTGCAGGAATGGATAAGACTATTTCACCAAATCTCCAAAACATGGGAAATCAGAATGAAGTATGTATGTATGAAGCATCAGAATAAAATGTCTCATACCATAATCATACCATTTACTCTCCAATTTTCTGATGCAATGGAAGGGAAAGTAGCTAAAGAACAAGTTGGTTGTCTTAGGTTTTGTAAGAAAAACTGATCATATTTCAAAAGTAACTTCAGTTGGGAATACTTTATCATGTACAAGATTAATACCACCACACCAAATTGTGGTCCATATACAAACTGCATGTATATTTTGCACGTACAGATTAGAGATTTTGGTCACAGAAATTCTTAGAAGTGAAAAATGGAGTTTTAGGAAATTGAACATTGAACTGTATCTGCAATGTTAGAGGTTGGTTTGAGACACCTTAAACGTTTGGCCCAGGGAATAAGTACAATTCAGTATAAATAAGGGTTGCAAACTAGGACCCATAAAGAATAATATTGGAAAGTAATGTCCTTTTCAAGTGTTAACAAAGATCTGACAGCATAACCTCAGTCTTGTTTAACTATAGGAAATTTTGTAAGGACCACAGTGAGAGACAATCCAAGTATTATACAGCACTACCAGGGAAGATACACTATCTGAACAGACAATCTTATGTTCAGATATGCCATGTTATTGGTTAACTTGATCAAGCAGAAGCTTCATATATCATAATTGTAGGAATATAGTCAAAAACATTTTTTTGTGGGACTGGTCATGAATTTGTTTTTGATACAGAAATATTCATATTAGAGTCTCACACAACCAATTGCCAACTAACAGTCTTATGGATAATTCCAGATTTCATATTAGTACTAAAAATTAAGGAGTGATTTCTACCATGCATGAAAATTAATCAGAGCATGTCTCCTGTAACCATCTCTTTGGTGGTAGGATATATTTCCAGTATGGAATTCTGTGTGGCTGAAGAATAGCAGGATAACAACAACTATAGCCTACATACAGGACTGCATTTTACCACTAAAGCTATTTAGAAATGAAATTATTTTGAGGTACTTTCTACATGTGCAGAAAAAAAAAGAAAAGAAGAGAATTTAGCATAAATGTTCTCCTCCAAAGTAATATTTAATCATTCACATTACAGGCTTAGATTTGGGGCAATACTTCTCTGTGCATATTTAATAATTTGAGGGTTGACTATAAGGGTGCATCTACACTGTTCCTGGAGCTCGAAATAAGCTTTGCAATTTGAGCTACACACACTGGCACCCTTTTCCGGAAATGCTTAAAACGGAACAGTTTTCCGTTATAAGTATTTCTGGAAAAAGTGCGTCTACATTGGCAGGATGCTTTTCCGGAAAAGCACTTTTTCCGGAAAAGCGTCCGTGGCCAATGTAGACGTGCTTTTCCGGAAAAAAGCCCCGATCGTCATTTTCGCGATCGGGGCTTTTTTGCGGAAAAGACTACTGTGCTGTCTACACTGGCCCTTTTCCGGAACAGTTTTTCTGGAAAAGGACTTTTGCCCGAACGGGAGCAGCATAGTTTTTCCGGAAAAACACTGACAATTTTACAGTAGATCGTCATTGCTTTTCCGGAAAAGCAAGCGGCCAGTGTAGACAGCTGGCAAGTTATTCCGGAAAAGCGGCTGCTTTTCCGGAATAAGTGGCCCAGTGTAGACACAGCTCTAGTGTAGCTTATTTTGAGTCAATTTTGAAATAGCTTACTTCGAAATTTGGTGTTGTCTACACAGCACTTATTTCAAAATAAATCACTATTCTAAAATGTCCCTTACTCCTTGTGGAATGAGGTTACAGGGACATCTGAGTTGCTAGCCTGTTATATTTTGAAATAATGGGCACGCTCAAAAGATGAGGAATAGCTATTTCATATATCCACCTCTGGTATTCCAAAATAGCGCTGCAGTGTAGACATTGCCTAAATGTGTAGTGTGGGGTTTTTGTAAGTAGAATGGGCAAGATTGAGAAGATTAATCTTAGTATCTTTTATTCTACAGTTTTGAATTCAAGTTATTCATATTAGTAGGTGTGTGTTTTGTGTTTTTATTTACATTTTTCTTTGTTTCCTTTGTACTAAGATTAAGGATAAACAAGTGCATACCCCCACCTCTATAGAGTCTTGGAAGGTTACATGTTTTTGTTTTATTCTGAGTTGAATGAACATGGTGTCAAGCATCAATTCTCTTGTAATTCCTTCATTGCAAGATTGCTTTGGATCTTTGATCAACAGAAATCATTCATTGATGAATTATAACTATTTTTGTAATTTTCCAGCAATATTATCCAGATTGAATTTCCTCAAAGTACTGATGATAAGACTTATTCCTTTACCTCATGATTTGGGGATGTAAGAATTAATTGTTTAAGAGTTCTAAAGTGCTTTGAAGAGGAAAAGAGCTATTTACGTATTGAGTGCTGTTGTTGTTGTTATTGTTGTTATTATTATTATTATTATTTTATTATTATATTTCAATTGGCTACCAGCTTGAGTAGACAAAACAAGAAACACATAACTTGCTTATAACTTTGTAACTTGGTAAAAATGCTTATAAATAAATAAAATATGGTCATCCCTTTCATTGCTGGATCTCAGAGGTGGGTTTTGAAAGTGAATTTGATACATGTGTGAGACATATCAGATGCACTTTACTTCAGATCTCATTCATGCTGGTTCATATTTTTATCAGATGAGTCACTAGATAACCATCTCAGGTCATTGCGAGCTGTAGACCTGAACTCTGATTCTCCTGCATGGTGGCGATAAATGCGATGCTACCTCTAGAAGAGGTATTGTCTGTTAGGCTTAAATAAGTTTCCTAAGAGCTGAGATTCTAAATTCATTTTCACTTTTCATAAGCCCTGGATGTGAGTCCATGTACTTTAACTCTGGAGGGGATGAAAGAGAAAAAATGTCCATTGTAGCACTGTGGTTTTAGTGTTTAAATTAGAACAGAAAAGCTGGAACAAATATCATCGCTGGGAGATGACCTTTCTTCTCCAGGCTGTTTACAGCCATTCAAATGATTATTTTAAAATCCATTGGTAAAAGCAAAAAGCTACCGTCTCATAGAAAAATATTTTTTGTACCATTTTTTAATTAAAAAAATTGTAATTAGAAACAATTCAGACTCTAAGTCATACTTTCAGTTCCTTTCCCTTGTTTTTTGCTATTCAGGATATTTGAAGTAACAAGACTTTTCCATTTAAAGTCACAAATCAGGTGACATTTATAAGTGTTTCCATAGTTCTGTGTTTGTACAATGCCTATTTCAGTGGGGTTTTGACCTGCAACTAGGGCAGTGGTTTTCAAACGACGGGTCGTGACCCAATACTGGGTCGTGGAATGTCAGGCACTGGGTCTCCTTGCTGCAGGGTGATCAGGTGATCAGTGGGAGTGGCAAGGTGGCGCAGACTGTACTGTGCCCCAGAAGCAGCTGGCAGCAGGCCTGGCTCCTAGGTGTGTATGGGAGGGAGAGTGCACAGAGCTCCATACACTGCCCCTGCCCTGAGCAATGGCTCTGCACTCCCACTGGCTGGGAAACTGATGCTGTCTGCTTCTGAGGTGCAGCATGGTCTGCGGTGGCAAGAGAGGCAGGAAGCTGCCTTAGCACCCCCGCTGCACTCCTGGGTGGGAGCTGCTCAAGATTAGCACCTCCTGTCCCAGCCCTGCCCCCAAGCTGGAGCCCCCTCCTTTGCCCCAAAGCTTCCATCCTCTGCCCCACCTTTGAGCCCACACTCTAGTCAAATTATGTTGGGTAGCGGGCATCAAGAATTTCCTTCAATTGGGTCATGAGAAAAAAAGTTTGAAAACCGCTGAACTAGAGCTTCAAGGCGCTACAGTAATAAAACTAATAAGCTGGGATGTCACCGACATGGAGAGACTGGGGATTTGGGTAGAGAATAAGTAGCAACTAGTACGCCTGATGCCATCACATAGACTCCCACAGGTACTTATAAAGTGGAAACCAACTCCTGTGAGGAAACACCCATGAGAAATCTAATTGGGAGGCCAGAAAAGTCAATCTCAACCCCATAGAGCAAAATGGAAGCAGTGGTAAATGACAGAAAGGAATGGAAGAGGCCAGTTTCTGCCCTATACTCCAACATTTGTACAGGAAGGACATTTTTTTAAAGGCAGCAAAAGCAGAAGAGTTCCTAAAGAAGATAATCTCCCACTCATGTATGTCACTACAATACAGGATGTGCAGTATAGTCAGAACTGATTTAACTGGAGTATGTTAAAATGTTTTATAAGGTACTTTCCATTCTAAGCAAGTGTAATAATTGCACACATTGCCTTCTTAGGAACTCTCATTTTTATTTTAGAGATGTAATTTCTGCACTATTTCAAAACGAGCTGACCAGATGCTTTTCTCTGTCTCCCCTGACTGGCACATCTAGCATGTGAAGGAAAAACTAAACTCTTCTTTGACTCTCAAGTTTTCTTCAAGGTAACTTTCACAAAGCAGCCATACTTACCTCAGGCTCAACAAATTTAATATTCAATGCCACATATGCACTCAACTTCCATCTATGGCCACCTTCTATTCCCCTGGTAAGGTAGAATTGATCTTACCCATAGTGCAAAATTTCTAGTTATTGTATATATAATCATCACCAAATGCCGGAGCAATGAGAATAGCTTGAATAATTCCGCCATACTTCAGACTTAGAGGGTTGTAGTGTAATTTGCCAGGAGGTATAAAGCTGCCAATTTTTAGATATTGTCCTCTGGGGCAGGTTCTCTGCATTGTAGTGTGATGCTGTTCTGTTTCATAACCTTCCTCCTCTTCAAAAGAGATATCTAGCTTTATTTTAAAATAGGCTGCAAGGTGAAAAATATCCTTGTCAAAATCGAATGTCAATCAAAAGAAAAGAGGCAGCTATGGGCCACCAACACTATAGTGCGTCCAATTGACGTAACATTACAATTATAATAGTGCTGTAGATTACTGGCTAGTATTTATGGGCTATATCCCTCTACTGGATACAAAAAAAGAGCTTAAAGTTGATGTTATTAGGCCCTATCCTAATCACACCAAAAAGAGATTCCTCATCAGCCAGTGAGTGGTTAATATAGACTGAAACAGTTCTTGACACCAACCAAGATAATGGAGGGCGCACTGCTTAACCAAGCTTTAGAGAGGAGAGATGCGTTTACCTTTAGCGCCTTCTTACATCATCTGCCTTCATCTGCAGTGGCATGTGCTTCAGTAGTGAGAGTATCTGGGTTTTATCCCTGTAGTCACAAAAGTCTGAATGTCTTACCTCCCTTATTTCATAAGGACCATCTCTATTTCATAGATATGTCACATGAGTAAGGGAAGGCTTTGTAGAGCAGCACTTAACTAGTGATTGAAGCATGTATTCAGCTTAGAAATCAACCTGAAGGAACCTAGTCCTTTAAACAAAAGGTTCTCCTTTGTGGTGTCCTAACACTGCACTGAATTGCACATCCAAAATGTGACCCGCATGCTCTTTCCCCAGAGGGAGGGAGGGACTTTGGGACACAGAGTAATGTGATCATGTCACTCTGTTGTCCCTTTTGTAAATATATAGAGAGAAATATTCAGACGTTTTCCCAATCAGGCCTCTGTTTTTGCATTTTTAAAAACTATTTGTATATGCATTTGTAACCTAAGTAAGGAAATGCTAGGAAGAATTTAGAAAATTTTGGGAAAGGTATGATTCATTAATGGCTAAGTAAAGAGAAAAAGCTTGTCATATATGAGCACCAGTATTCTTTATTGCAAGGAAGGTATAGTGAGTACTTTATGTAATGGAAGAGGTGGAGCTTTGAAACGTGGTATCCAGCTCATCTTTCTCCCAATTTCTTAAAACTGATGGAATTTATATGTCCAGTCTTACCTTAAAATACAACAGTGGAAACAATATTTTCCTTATGTAAACAGGCTTGGATAGATTGCAGAAACTGCTACGTATTTTTTGGTTAAGGCTGAGCTTCAAATTAAATTAGTATCAATTATATGTAAAAGGGTATTATGGATTGATTGAAAGTGTATTGAAATGTATTGAAATTGATCATAAATGCCATTTTAAACA